ATGCACTTGTGTGTCAGCTCTAAAGTTATTTATGTCTGTCTGTCTAGATTTAGTGACTGTCAGTGTGGAAGACACCCAAGTTAACGTATTCAATGAACATTGGAAATTTGAGAGAACTAAACAGCTGCTCACTCCAGTACGGAACTACTCAGCAGTTACCGTCGAACTCAGTATCTTCTGATCTCGTGGGGAATCTGCTGTCCTCTCAACCACTAGGTTTGAATCCAACCGTTCACACTTTCGCGCCACCGTCCTCAACTGCCATCTGCAAGTATTTATTTTCATGTATGACATGATCATAAATCAATTTGAGATGAATATCACCATTGGATCAATTAACTTCTCACACATCTAACTATCGATTGGTAAGTGATGGTTGATTTATGATGGAGTAATCGTTTTACCAAATATGTTAAGGATTTAAAAACGGTATTCCCATTAAATCCTCTTCACTTATAGTACTTTTTTTAATTTACCTGATTTCCATTTGCATGTCAACTTTTGTTCTATTGAGTTTTTTCCCCACTACCAACTAACAATTCCATGAAAATTTGACAGAATCAAAAATCATCCTTCTATGAAAAGTTCTACTGCACTGTTCAAATCGAAGGTCTACGATAATCATCTTCTGTTTTCAAGTATTCCTTGAAAAGCTTATTCAGTAGGGTAAGGAGGAGGAAAGAAATATTAATACATTTATACTAGTGAATCTTTGCAGCAATGTCCTTATTAAAACTTGTATAAACTAATAAGGTTGGTCAATACACCGCCTGGTTTCATGTTGATTAGTTCAACTATTTGATGACTCTTATTGTGACATAAAGAACAGGATATTTAAAAGAGACATTATTTTCAACAAACTCAATCTCAAGCTGTACACTCGCATATATCTATATGGTAATTGAAAAACTATATTCTGTGGAGAATTTCGATGCAACAGATGATAAAATGCTTATAATTAAGGTAACAGTTGAAATTTGAATTCTAACAAAGTGGATTATGTAATTCATAGAATCATTCATTGAACGAGGTGTAGATACAATGAAAGTGATAAATCATTAACGTATCTTGTAATAGGATCAGAGAAACCTCTAAGCTGAATCAGCGTCTAGTTCTCATTACCGACATTCTTGAAGATGCATTGCCTAGTGTCATGAAATGCTGCGATCTGTTTAGTTAAGACGACATTAGATGATGATAGACACGTCATATCGTGAATTAACAGAGAGAGAAAAATATGGACCACTGGATTTTAAACCAGTGAGCTCGCTGGAAGACCTCATTATCTTAAGTTCAATCTCTGTTGAGATTGTGGGGGTGCACTGCTGACAAGTCCTCATACTGGAAAGAAAACAGCTGTCCAGCTTTCCTGTGTTTCAATGGTTCCTTAACTGATGCTCATCCACGACAAGTACTTACCTAAAATTAAATCACTACCTTTTCAAAGGATTAGGAAAATTAAGTTAGGTAACACAGATGAATTCTGAAAGTGAAGATAGAGATAGTAATAACGACAGTACAGTCAATTGAAGGACACAAAAATTAATTTAGTAGAAGGGAGCCAAAAGTACGACGTTGTGTTTTATGAAAACGAAGAACAGTTCAAGGCTAGTAAAAATCAGTTGAAGTTTTACCCCCAAAGACTGTTGATTCATTTACAAAAGCGACTCTAGAGTAAGTCTGATCAACTTGGTCAACTTTCGATTCTAGATTCATGAATACAGCTGGTAGGCTCAACATAACGATGATGTCCTGATAAATGTAAGCTAGCTGGGTTTCAATCATTGGGAGGCCTAACTTGAACTAGATTTAGTGTATGACGGCAATCATCAGTAGGACATATCTGTAGTCAGAAGGGAAGTGACGTTCCCTGAGAGATCCGAACACTCATCACTGTGTTCCAGTTAGAGACGTTACCACAGAGATATTGAAGTCACCATTTAACTTCAGTAAGGCTGAGTCATATACATTGATTATAATTTGCAGCAGTATTAATGTTATTCTTTCAAAGGCAATATTTATTAACTCAAATTACCTGGGTTTATAATATGCGTATCTTGACCTGAGCATCCTGTAGACATCTTACTGTGGAGCTATGGTCCACTAGTTTAGGAAGTTGAATTTTCAACGATCGGTTGTGGGTTCGAATACCTTTTCACCTACAACGATTTAGCCAGCCAAGTAATATCGTAAGCTATCACATAACAGATTTTTGGTTCATTAGCCACTTAACGAATATGCACAGGGTTGCTGGATGCATCTGTCTTTCGAAACGACTGTAGAAATCATACAGATGGCATAGTTAGAATAAGGACAATTACAACTAAAAGTAACCAGATAAATAGTAATGAAATTTAATAGAAAAAGTCAGAGGTCTTTCATTTCTATCTTTTTTTTGCAGTAATTCTCCAAAATGCAACAAAATGAACAGAAAGAATCTGTGACTGAGAAGCTGAATCACATGGCCTAAAAAAAAAATCAGCTACAGTTTTCCTTGATTGCATTCACTTGAAGCAAAATATTCCTTCTTGCTATTTCCAATTTTTTACTCACGCTGTCAACAGCTGATATCACATGTTCATAGTAAATCTCTTCATTTCTTTTGGCATCATTAGAGTTAACCTGAGATAGAAGGGAACAAAGGGAATATCATAGCCAAATAAATGTCAAAGTAGATAGAATATTGTCTAGTTATCAAACTCAGACATAATTCATTCTGAAATGAGTCATTATGAAGCATTGTATACCTGATGACTGAATGCGGTAACTTGAAACAGTGAACGGCTTCCACCTAATTTTAAAATGTCTCGCTTATTGTTTCTGAGTTTGGATAAGAGAAGCGATGAATCAGGTAAAAGGAATATGTAAGAAACGTTTCATACCTGAATTCCATGAACTCATTTCATAGTATTACCAGTAAATTTTTTTATGTAAATTTTACATCTAATTTACTCCACTATTATTTAAATCTACCATTTTCTCAGCTTTTCCCAGTTCAGTATTGCCTTCTTACCTGAGTTTACCGAGTGAATTGTCAAGTAGAATATCGTTTATTCGGTGCCGATATTACGTATTACTAGTTAACCGTCTCTACAAATTTTCAACGGTATATTTGACCGATTTAGTTTTTTGAGGGAGTTGTGGAGATTTGGAAATATTTCAAGTTGTTATTCACTGTAGGCTGACATCAGTTGGAGGAACGAAGGAAACCTGGGAGCACTGGACAGCTGTTTCGTCCTAGTATGGACTACTCAACAGTGCGCACCCACGACCCCGCCAGGGATAGAACCCGCAACCTTCAAGTCCCACAGCCAGCGCGTTACTGTTGAGCCACTGGGTTAGAATCCGGTGGTCCATATTTCCAACTTCTGTTACCTCACGGTATAGCGGGGTCGTAGGTGAGCACTGCTGAGGAGTCCCATACTAGGACGAAACAGCTGTCCAGTGTTCCCAGGTTTCCTCTGTTACTCCAACTGATATCAGTCTACGGTGAATAACAACTCGATTTAGTTTTAACCATTATTCTTAAGACAATAAAATTACGTACAACTTCCATCGAGACTTATGACTTTCTAGTCAATAGATTGTCTGAACCTGGTGAATTGACTTGATGGAAAAACTTACCCATGAATCTAATCACAAGTTGATAACCGTTTCTTGATGATGAGTGATTATTATATTACTCGAAGATAATTTATGCGGGAAGGTAAACTTCATTGGAAGAAGGCTAGGAAACACTACTTTTATTTGGATATAACACTCCATACCTTTGAATATACTTTGTAAATCTAAGTGTTAGCCAAATGAAAGTTGTTTTCACATCATAGTCAGAAGTTACCTGATGCATCTTAGGGAATTCCAGACACTTTGTGTACTCCAAGTTACGTTATCAATTTGTAAGTTAGCATTAGATTCATGCTACAAGGAAAAAAAACCTAGAGTACTATGAGCTTGGCTTCGACTATATGTTAAGCTAGAGCTGTTATATCATCTACTGACAATCCTAAGTAGAACACCTTGAAAATGTTACATTCTAACCTCAAAATCCCTACACTTTCACTTTCGGACTCATTCACGAACGATAGATATTTCTACGTAGTTAGTGAACGATGAATTAAATGAGGTGTCTTACCATATTATATTTAAAAAAGTTCTGAATTACAAGTTGGTATTCACCATAGACTGATGTCATTTTGAGTACCATTGAAGACCTGGAAGCACTGAACATCTGTTTCGTTCTAATGTAGGACTTCTCAGTATGGCACGTCCATGATCTTACTGGGGATCAAACCCTGGACCTTCAGGTTTCATGGTGTTTCACACGTTGTCATTTTACCGCTAGATCGGAATTCAGTGGTTCACATTTTCTATACTTTGTCAGTTCATGATGTAGCTTGACCTTCATCCGATGCGGCACTGAGTATCCGTCCTCACGACATCTCACTTGAACTATAGGACATTTTTTCTCGAGACATGTCACTAATGAGCATTGAATAGTGGTACAGTTTGTTGTCCTACTGGCTATAGGTGATACTTCTAGCCTCACAAAGGATTGATTTAATGAACACTATAATAAGCTTATACAAACTTTAGAGAATGCTGTTATATTATTATCATCAATTTTCAAATAACTTACAAACTTCACGTTTAATGTAGACATTTCTTACAGTAGTCTTTCATCTGCCTAACTGTGGTTTCAGAAGGATTTTCGTTGGAAAACACAGTTGGATAGTTAAAAAAACTACCTAACTCTTAGAGATGTCAACGTGGATGTTGTAATCGAGCCATACTATTGAACGTATATTGCTCGACCTTAGTCAGTTAGTCAGCTGTATGAGCCGACGATATCGTATGAATTGACTCAACAGCGTCTCATTGACTTCCAGTTATTCATTTCTTTTCTCTGTTACGTATAATAGTAGTTAGTCATGAAATAATTAGGGGTTCCGTAGAATCATTTATTGTATTTAATCGTAAATTTCGAGCACTAAATCAGTAATATGATTGCTAATAATGGTATGTCTTTCACAAGTGCTTTCTTCTTCACCTGTACAGAAGCAAATAACTCAGACTTTGAAAAATACATACGGATGGACCATAAGCATCAGACTTTATGTTCTACTACACAAGGTTGCGAGGGCCAAACCAGGTGAGTTATCGTGTTCGCGAATTTTACATGCGACAGATGACAAGTACGGGTGCAAACTGAATGTAAAAAATGAATAGGGAAATTCACTTAGTTTAAACAATCAATGCAGTGACAATTTTCATTGTATGAGTAACTAATCTGTGTCAACTGCTCAGAAGATTAGCAATTCATCAATCAATATCAACATAGGACCAGGCATTACTGCGTAACGGTCCAAGTTACCACACCTCATATCACTACATCAGGTAGAAAGGTAGTCAGGTGAAGGATGAAGATAAGAGAATGCAATCAAAAGAAATATTAAGTACGAGAAGAAGGAAGAGAGGAGTGAGGAAATGGTGAGGTTCAGTATAGTGTTAAGATGACGATAAATTGGGTATACATCTCCGTCGATGACATCGGTTCTAAGCCATGTGATCCCCTAGAGTCTCCAACACTGATTCCTCTTGTCCCGTGGACCTCAACCATCTAGTCTGCATCGCTCTACATGGCTTAAAACAACAGTCAGAGACTTCACACATTGGTGCCATGTATTGGTCTGGCCACCTCAGGCCTTTTTCCACCCTGAACACACCTCAGCCAACATGGTGTGACGAGGCAATCGGTGACTAGACATACGTAGTACGTGTCCCAACCATCTCAGTCGATGAAGGTTCATAACCTCGTCAACTGATTTACCTCTTCTCCCTAAAACTCTACTCCTGACTTCTGCATTACTCATGTGGTGTGGTAACACCACGGAATACAGTCTATACTACGAAGGCAACGGTGGTCAAACACTTGAATCCTTCTCATATCTTCTACTTTCAATGGCCATGTTTCACAGCCATAGAGAAGAAGGGAGCGGACTGCTGTGCAGTACACGTGACCCTTAATAGACAAACGGACATCACGGTGGCGCCATAGGTGGCGTAAATTGGCCAAAGCCAATCAAGCCTTTTGTATCCGTGCAGAGATCTCATCGGCAATTAACCGACCACGGTTGTTTCCACTTTTCAGATAAGTGAACTGGTCAACACACTCAACATCTTATAGTGTAAGTCCTAGAACGATCATCCTGTAATGTTTCTCATAAATACTAGAAAATGAAATTTGTTTTATATGGCGGAAAAAAAAAGAAAAATAGCCACGTGGTTTCTGTTATTCAGTGAAGAAGAAATTTTGAAGACGCAATCACATGAACGTTTCCATAACCAATAAATGTTTCTTTGTTTTCTAGAAACAGGGAAAACTTATTTTTAGTTATTCTGTCGTACAATTATCATTCATTCAAATACACTTCCTCTCTTTAATATTCGATAAAGACTAGATACCAAAAGGTCACTACTAATCATATCAACGATAGACTGTTATCTGTCTCCTTTTGAGTTCTGGTTGAACTCATTGGATATTGACGGTTTTTTAGTTTCTAAATACCCAAAAAGTCTTCTGTCAGTCGCCAAGACGTTGTTTCTTATTAACATGCAAAAGATGTCGCACTTAATTAGGATTTCCAGAATCGTTTCCTTTGGGTTCGAAATTCTGACTTCAGTCACTGATAAATTTGATAGAAGAATTTAGTTCCAAGATTTAGTTAATCAAACAAAACATTTTCTTCTTCTGTCAAATAGAAACAGTAAATAATTCTCAAATTCATTGTTAAGCATTGTAGTTATTTATACATTACTTACAAACGGCATGTCAAAACGCTTCTTACAGACAAACAAAATAGACGATTTCTTGATATTTCAAGAAATTTCAAGATTGATTTCAAGATCTTGATAAGAATGAAGATAGAGAACTTGGGCTATTTCACGAAGACGTAATTCATTAATATAACCAGATTTCTTCATCCGATTTGTCAGTTAATATATTGTCATCATTTTGAAGGTTCCTGAGAGCTCCTCTGTCTGACTTGGGTAAATTAGGTTACATTTTCTTCTGTTGTTTCAGTGTTAGAGCACAATGTGCTCCTACCTCATCCGCAATTAATTGTCTTATCTATTGAACTTAACTCTATTCTTACTGTGGGTATGACACCTTCTGGTTTCAACTCGTTAACTACTACTATGAAGTTAAGACCGTTCTCTAGTACTTATATTTCTGTTGAGCTTAAAACTCTAGTTGAGAAGTTGACAACCCATTTTGACTTATCGATCATTGGTGATATGCCATTATTAATTTCATTTCTGACCGATAGCTGCTACCTTGACGTGGTGGTCGGGCTTGCATATCACAATGACCCAACGAGCTATGCTGGTGGAACGCTTGTTCCCTCGAGGTCCTACCATACCAGAAAGGTCTGTTGGGTAGTGGTTAGACGAAAAGCAGTTACCTTGTAGTGTAAATTGCTACACTATGATGGGGGTCTGAGGGCGAAGTCGTACTGCTGCTAGCTGGATGGGGTGTGACAGCAGTAAGGTGTTTCCCTTGGATGACCAGCAGTGCCAAGCTGATGCTGCCTTCTCAGTGGAAGGGGGGGTTAGAAAAGGTCGGCCCCAAAAATAACACACTCCACCACACCCCACGGTCTGCCGGGCCGGCGGTGTTGGTTCACTTGTCGTTTCCTTTCGACCATCCGGCCCCAAAAATACAAAAATTCAAAATAATCATACTCAAAAGGCTGGGTGTGACAGGCCTCAAGCAGATGTCCGATGGGCTCTGCGGTCACACAAATCTCTTTCAGGTACCTTAAGAAGAAATAGCCTTCCACGGTGTGGGCAGCCGGGAAGTGTCAACCGCCCTCACAACTCTGTCAGCACCCAAGTTTCTTCTGACTGCTATCCTCCTCCTCCATCATTACCTTCTAATCTTCCTTCACGTCTCTTAATTAATGATGCTGCATCATCTTCAATTTCTCCTACCTCTGCAGCCTTCGACAACGATCTGAGTCCACAGAACAGCATCCTGGTCTCCTTAAACCACGCTCCAAATTACATATTGGAGCCTTCAATGTCCGCACCCTCCGTCAAATTGGCCAACAGGCTTCGTTAGCAAAGACTCTAGCAACTCGGGCATGGATGTGTGCTGTGTTTGTGAGACACGCATACAGGACCCAAGTGTGGTTATTCACCTGACCTCTCCTGACCCTTCGAGTTTCTGGAGATTCGATAGCTAGCTCTCGTGGTCTTGCAGGTGTAGGTATAGCATTAAGCACCAGGGCAGAAAACTCACTACTAGACTGGATCCCAGTTGATAGTCGCCTCTGCGCTATGAGGCTGAACGGCACAGTGAGAACTAAAAGGAATAGTGAGACTCGCCGTTGTCTCTTTGTAATCTCTGCTTACGCACCCACTGACTGCAGCTCGGATGAAGTGAAGGACGAGTTCTACCATAAACTGTCTAACCTCCTCTCGAAAGCCAAACGTTCGGACGTGGTGGTTGTTGCAGGTGACCTCAACGCACAGGTGGGTAGACTGAGTGAGGCAGAAAGGCACTTAGGTGGCACTTTCGGAATCCCAGCTGAACGTACAGATAACGGTGATCGCCTATTACAACTATGCTCAGATAACCGCCTATTTTTAGCCAGCACAAATTTCAGACATAAAGAAAGGCACTGTCTGACCTGGCGTCCACCGAGCTCGACTCAGCGATGGACACAGATAGACCACATTGCTATTAGTCATCGCTGGAGAGGATCGGTGGAAGACTGCCGCTCCTTCTGGAGTACGTGTTTGGATAGCGATCATGCGCAACGATCGCGAACAGTGGTGGGCAGCGAAGGCTAAGGAGATGGAAAAGGCAGCGGCGATCGGTAATAGTAGACAGTTATTTAGACTTAATAAGGAAACTAGAGGGAAAAGGTTAACAACAGTTAGTGAGGCTATAGTGGAGAAGGACGGATCTGCGATTCACTCGCAGGTGAGAAGACTGGAACGATGGGCAGAACACTTCGAGGAACAGTTTAACTGGCCTCCAGCCACCATTGCGCTGCCCGCTATCCAGTCGGATCCTGAATGGAACATAGAGAGAGGCCCCATAACACTAGTAGAATTCGAGAAAGCGGTAGGTAACCTGAAACGAGGAAGGGCAGCAGGACCAGACGGACTACCTGCTGAGGTATACAAGAATGGTGGTAGAGTTCTCTTAGTCAGGCTAACGGAAGTGTTAGCCAGTATATGGGAATCAAATACGATCCCCTCCGACTGGTCTAAGTCACTGATCATCCCAGTCTTCAAGAAAGGCGAGAAGTCCTCTTGTGATAACCACAGAGGAATCAGCCTGACAAACATAGTGTCTAAGATCCTAAGTTCTATAATTCTCCGACGCCTGAGTGGAGCTCGGGAACAGCAAGCCCGAGAAAACCAGGCAGGCTTTAGACCTGGCCGTGGATGTATCGACCAAATATTCACACTGCGCCAGGTCCTGGAACATAGGCATGCTTACAGACGCCCGACAATAGCTGTATTTCTCGACCTGAAGGCGGCATTTGACTCCGTTGATCGAGAAGTCTTATGGCAGTGTCTGTCACTGAAAGGCGTGCCTAGTAAGTACATCACCTTATTGAAAGCTCTCTACTCGAACACTTGTGGGCATGTTAGAGCCTATGGTGAGTTGTCCAGGGAGCTATACTCATCAAGTGGTGTCCGTCAAGGATGCCCACTATCCCCATTCTTATTTAATTTTATCATAGATATTCTTATGGAGGTTTCCCTCTCGTCACCTAATTACAAAGACGTTGACCGATCACAGGTGAATTTTCCTTAGATCTAGAATATGCAGATGACATAGTCCTGTTAGGTGAAGACGCTGACAAGATGCAGAGTCTTCTGAACACTTTGAGTGGGAATTTGAGAATGTTTGGGATGCGATTTTCACCACCCAAATGCAAATTTTTGCTCCAGGACTGGTCTTCAGCGGTACCGCGGTTAACAATAGAGAGTGAAGTGGTTGAGTGTGTTGACCACTTCACTTACCTGGGAAGTAGGATCAACCTGGTGGGTTAGTTGCCGATGAGATTTCTGCACGGATACAAAAGGCTCGATTGGCTTTTGCCAATTTGCGCCACCTATGGCGCCGCCGTGATATTCGTTTGTCTATTAAGGGTCGCGTGTACTGCACAGCAGTCCGCTCTCTTCTTCTGTATGGCTGTGAAACATGGCCATTGAAAGTGGAAGACATGAGAAGGTTTCAGGTGTTTGACCACCGTTGCCTTCGTAGTATAGGACGTATTCCGTGGTGTCACCATGTGAGTAATGCAGAAGTTAGGTGTAGAGTTTTAGGGAGAAGAGGTAAGTCAGTTGACGAGGTTGTGAACCTTCATCGACTGAGATGGTTGGGACACGTACTACGTATGCCTAGTCACCGATTGCCTCGTCACACAATGTTGGCTGAGGTGGGTTCAGGCTGGAAAAAGGCCCGAGGTGGCCAGACTAAAACATGGCACCAATGTGTGAAGTCTCTGACTGTTGGTTTAAGCCATGTAGGACGATGCAGACTAGGTGGTTGAGGTCCACGGGACAAGAGGAATCAGTGGTTGGAGACTCTAGGGGATCACATGGCTTAGAACCGATGTCATCGACGGAGATGTATACCCAATTTATCGTCATCTTAACACTATACTGAACCTCACCATTTCCTCACTCCTCTCTTCCTTCTTCTCGTACTTAATATTTCTTTTGATTGCATTCTCTTATCTTCATCCTTCACCTGACTACCTTTCTACCTGATGTAGTGATATGAGGTGTGGTAACTTGGACCGTTACGCAGTAATGCCTGGTCCTATGTTGATATTGATTGAATAATTTCATTACTGTTGACTGTGTGCTTTTCTTCCATAAATTTTTTCAAACTTCTTAATCTGAGTATTTTTAGATTACTGGAATGCAGCAGATCTTGCATTCTATCTTGAAACTGTCCATCAGAAGTTTGTAATCTTTGTCACTAGCCGTCTGTATCAGCTTACTTTTGAGATTTTTGATTTAATTCTTTATGTTATGCAAGTTTTTGACTTTTCTATAAATTTCATCTTTAAGACAGAGTTTACTGACCCGTTTTATAGCTACTTTGACTTCATCTATTGGAATTGGCACACATCGACGTAGATATTTAGGAATGATTCGATTTTTGAGACAACGAATATTGAATTACAATGGTTTGTGTATCTGCCTTCTGTCCGTGAAAATCGTGTGAGTTTATGATTAGTCTTTGAACAGGAAGAGCATTTTCATCTTCTCAGATGAGAACAAGTTTATAACAGCCAAAAATAGAAAGAAATGAATATAACCTACTGCAATTTTTAGAAAAAGTATGAAAAAGTCTTTCACAAATTTTAAATTATATGAACCTCCATAATCATCTTATCGAAATAATAGATGGGAAGTGCTACATAAAAATTGAAAGCCACTAGTAGTAGTAGTAGTAGTAGTAGTAGTAGTAGTAGTAGTAGTAGTAGTAGTAGTAGTAGTAGTAGTAGTAGTAGTATCGATAAACAAAGTCACAAATTTAATAACGTGAGCAAATAAATGTTTAACAATGAATTGAGGGGGACAACTCTGTCTCCTCTGCGTTCACCTGGAGGAAGTTCCATCATCGCTGACATGCCTCTTCTACCAACTTTTTGTTTTCGTCAGTTTAATCTTCGAGTCTGTTTGACATTAGCTACCTTATATTTAGGAAATGGTTCACTGTGATGCATTTCGAAAATGTTGAAAAACAAGCGGAAAGAGAACGATGATTTTTTCCACACTGAAATTGTAAGAAATGCTCAAGTCTAGGTGAAACGCATCCACATAATAGGTCACATAGTGTGCGTATCTTACGAACACGTCTCGCATTTTAATTGGTTCAATGATCACCAGTGTTTTTGCTTATTGGCCATATAAATTCTTTATATATTTCTCACATAAAAATTACCAATCAGCATAGATTAAAACTGTTCATCCGTGTATAAAAGAGTGAACGATCAGAAGTACAAACGTATTTGAGATGTCTCAATCATTATCAATCTGTGTATTGTGATCATCCTACTATCGAGCATATGCTGCGCTGAAGGTAAATTTTGATAAATTTTGAAGTTTTTTTCATTCGACTCTGTACCACATAGTAATTGATGAATGCCTTAGTGATACCTTACTTGGTAATACTCATCAATCCAGTTATATTATGTATTCATGACATTCACAACGCTTTACCAGTCATAACTGGGTGACCGAAATACACAGTCGGCTGTTTCTCTGATTGGCAAACCAATCTAAACTGGTGATGATTATCGGTAATTAGAGTGTGACGAGGGAAATACTAGAAGCACGCCACTTTTCCACACTCACCTTGTATTTCGTCACATTGCCGCTTAGACTTGGATACTTCGATTAACTGAGATGATATACATAAGTTGGTTGCCAGTAGGCAGCTGGTGTAAGTGTCAAGTCTTTAGTGCTCAGTTAGTACTGATCAGTCTACCGATCATGCTATACAATCAAGCCACTGAGAGGAATCACGCTGCGCTGTGTAGCGCTATATTTGCAGTTCTAAGCACTTTGTTCTAGAGAGCTGTGGCCAACTCTTGCACAAAATCTAGCACTACAAAGTGGTTAGTCGTGGCGTAAATAACTGCCTGATTTAGTGCCTCTGAATTCAGCATAGACTCATGAATGTTCGAAAGAGAGGGAGAACACCAGTTTCATAAGTTTGTGTGTGTGTCTTCCTGATGAGCGCCGATGAGCACGAAATCAGGTCCAGTCAAAGCTCCCATAATCTATGATGATATGCTTTGATATCACAACCACTGAAACTGATCGTAGGAACATGCACAACCATGTACGTGAATGAGAGATAGGCACATACGATTGAGACCATCTTGGTAAGTGTAATGGTCATAAGCTACAGAATTGAATTGACATGCATGTCTGTTTATCGTTGTTTATCTATTGCCTTAAATCAAAATATCCTGGGTTAATTACTTCTGAGCTGGAATGTCATTCAGTAAGTATCGAAGATATGTTGACATTTCAACCAAAACGTCATTGCGTGTGCAACGTTACTGTTGGAATATGAGAAATTATTAGCTTGATAGTGAGATAAGCGTTGAAAAGGTGCTTAATTATTGCACATTCAATAGATTCACTCACACTTGTTTGCAGACAGGTAGGGTGGTGCTCAGTAATCTATTTGTAAGAAACGTGCATCAAACAATATACATATCTGACTTCACACTGGAGTAATCACATTCAAAAGCTTCTACTTTAGGTTAAAGGAAATCATTGAAGGGTTGTAGAATGCAATCCACAAGATAAATTGGTAGGAAGATATCTCCAGCGAGTTGGAAATTCTTCTTATCAAAACATTGGTGGTGAATTCATTTATGCAGTAAATTCCCATGTTAAGAATTTTGCAGCTTTCTCGAATACGATTAACAAAATACAAGATGAGAATAATGTTTCAGACATATAGTTATTCTACTGAATAAAACAGTCAGTTAATCATCACACACTTCTTTCTCATGGATAGGTCTTGTTAATGTTCAGTCAGTAGAACGCTGAAGGCGCATGTGGGTAGCAGTTGATATAGCATGAAGTGATGAAACTGTGGTCACATAAGCAGTAGAATCATCGTCGTGACTGCACGTTACTGAAGACAGATTTTACATCCAGTCATAAAATACGCATTCCAATTACATTCAAATCTCTCATTCAGTCAATGAACCTTAAATTACTATGGGTATAGTGACCATATAACTCACACTCCGCAGCTTGCACAATTTTAGATAGTCACTTTACAGATAGTACACAGTGATATCAAGTTTTATGACACCCAACGCACATCCGTATTGAAATTCTTGTGAAATTTAGGCAAGTGGTAACAATAAAATCTTATTGTAATATGTTTTATGAATGTGAGATGTTGTTATGCTTACAAGAGAACATATTTTGTAAATATTAAAATGTACATTGAAGATAAATTTGAAATGTTCCCTGCTTATGAATCTTTCTTTCTTTCCAAGGTGCAATCAGCTTATCTGGTAAGAGAAAAAAAAGTGTAAAATATTTTCGTATAAGAACAAACTTTTTAAAGAGTACACATGAAATGAAGACAAATTTTTTGTGGATTATAACTGAATACGCTGTAAACCCATTCATATGAATAAATAACATAAAGCAGTAGAGATACACACATGTACTCACCACTTACATTCAACAATTTTAGGCATCATTTCCTGTGAAGTAATATAGTGATGGATCAACGAGTTAAGCAGAACTGTTGGGAGTGTGTAATGGTTGAAGAAAATATCTTGACTAGATTAAAACAAGATAAATAAGATGGATCACGTCTTTGTAAAATGAACAGATAATAAACAGTTGAACGGGAGTTGAACACTAATATAGAGAGATGCATTATTAGTTTGTTGTTGGATCTTGATATACAAGATGTAGAAACAAAGATATTTACACTAGAAGTGAAGTAACGCTTTTTAGAAGAAGAACACTATACAGTCAGACAGGAGTGTACAAACCTGTCCACCTGCTTTCCTGCATTATGATGCAATAAAGTGAAGCAACGATGATGTTGGCTACAATACTGGTAATGAGAAAGCGAATTTTCAAGTAACAAATGTGGAAGAAATGAGAAAAGAAAGGAAAAGAGAAAAATAGAGAATTACAAATAGATAAACATAGAATTCTACATCCATGAACTTTCAGATGAGTATTTATGTAAAATCTACTCTTATTGATAAAAATCAGTGTATATCTAGGTGCTAAAATGTCCTATGAATTGCTTATATTTGTTGACTTTTTCTTATAATGCAGAAAGGGGAGTTGGTAAGAAGAACTAAATAAATTCTTTGATAAGAGTCATTCTAAATTCTGAAATGGTTTGCATAGCTTATGCGTTACTGTGAATAAACTGAGACGTGACAACATTGAGAAAGCACTAAGAATGAGAATATCTAAGATAGCTATATCTTACTAGACTACTAATATTGACACTGGTTGATGTTTGAGTGCGAAATGAATACATTAGTAAAGTCGGGAATAAACCTCACAAGCAGGTGGTTCAAATCCTGCAGTGATTTAGGTTTTCACTCCACTTTCAATTGTCTGTCATCTAGTAGAAAGGAGAACTATGTTTAATAATGTTTGTAGCCTGATACTAAGTGACCTTGTGCACACGTACCTCCAGATTGATTGAGTCTTTGAATGTCATTTGTCACTGTGAATAACATGCATCTGAATGAATTGGTAATTGACAGAGAACTGTGAATGGGCACTGAGGAGATACAAAAATATACATTGTACAGGCATGAATATCCCTAATATCATGATTGTCAGTTTGATGAGGAGATTAGAAATGAGTGTTTTGGTTGGTGAGAAGTGTACTTATCATTCAGCTTGAAGTGGGCTACTGTCTCTAGATCTAATCAGGCTCTGTAAGCATTCGCAGTGACTATGGAGTCATCTATCGTTTACTGGTGTATCTTAACAGTTTTTGCACATGATGATCTACAAGAAAATACCACCATTGCCCCTTTCTATCACTCTTTTCACCAAACATATCACGACAAAGATTCAGTGAACTGAGTTTGATAAGATACTGACGACTGACATCGATAACATCTGTGTCACGCATTAACCGATTTGTACTCGTATACATTCGTGTAATGATCCTGCTTCTGTTCTGTACTGAAATGTTCACATAAGTACTATTAGCTAACTCATCGAACAGCTTTCTTGTAAGTAATATTACTTTTTTCTGCTTCACAAATTAAGCGATGCAAAACAGAATAAAAAAGGTTGAAATATTTTGCGGGGGTTATAAAGGTAATATTTAACTAACTTCCTTATCGTTGTTCTATGTAGATATTGTAGGTCAATCTTTTTAGACACATTTGTATTTTCATAATTCCTCAGAAAAGACTAACCAACTAAATAGTGCCAATTTTCGTGCAGACAACACTCAAGATATCAAAAGGCTGTTTTCGAAAATATTTCTGTACAACAAATAGTCAGTGGACAGCAATCAATTTCATGCTATCCATTGTCTAGTACTGACTAAACCCAATCAATATTACTGAAATGTGGTCAACAAAGTCGGAGGTTCAGCTTCACGCTGTACATTAGTTGATGTTATATAGTTCGAAGTGACCGACAGGAAGTCCAGTTTTACTTCAGTGTCATGGAAACTTATCAGTCAACAAGGTGTGTCTGAAAATTATGTATTCTGTGCATCAATATAGCTAAAGAAAACTGAATTTGTTTTGTATTCTGTGTATCACTAGAAGTATCCTCTTTGCTTCAAAATGAAGTAGTGATTAACCACCGAATGTTCATTTATAATGATTCGTGTATTATTCCTTTGCTAGATGATTTTTTAACCAAGAAAATAATTTCATTCAATCTGCTTTCTTTTCTACAGACAAGATAAAGGAAAACGAAAAAGAGGTTAAAAAAAGTGAAGAACTGCTAAAAGCTTTCTAGGTATTTCGGCATATACACGTGGTTTCTAACGAATCACGTTTCATATCATGATAAACGTTTATCTTTGGATTGTTTTTGTCTTACACTCATGAGTTTTATCATTTCATATAGTTCAAATTATTCGATGACATTACCAGAAGATACTCTGGTGAAAATAATTTGGCGCATGATAAGATTTGTTATATTATCAAGGAGAAATCAGCCAGTATCAATCATCTGACTTTGACAATGGTCACTTTGTTAGTGGTGCCAGGTGACTCGAATGGAACTAAGATCTGGTCAGCAGCTATTTTTCGTAGCTCTGTTTGAAGATCATGGTACAAGTAACTAGAAGGCTGATTGCCCGAATCCTTCCGTGACGGATTTTTAATACACCTGGAGTTATCAGTCACCATGAATAACACTTCTTGTCAAACTACCGAAGAAGGGAGACCTAAGTCTTTACAAGAACTGGCGCAGAATCACGCTCCTGTCCACCCAAGCAAGCAAAATATTAAGCCGCATCATCCTGGAGAGACTAAAGCATGCACTGGATTCAAAATTACGACCAGAACAAGCTGACTAGCTGGCTTCAGGAAGTACAAATCATATGCGGACGAAATTGCGACGCTTCGCATCATCATAGAGAGAGCATAGAGTGGCAGTCAAACCTCTACCTCAACTTCATTGACTTTGAAGAAGCCTTTGACCCGTCGACCGAGAGGTAATTTGGAAACTGCTTCAACACTATGGCTTTGCTGCCAAAAAGCCTTATCAATCTCATTCAACAACTATATGGAGACGTCACATGTCAAGTGATTCAAAAAGGGGAGCTCAGTGACGCTTTTCAAGTGATGAAAGCAATGAAACAAGGCTTCCTACAATCACCATGATCTTCCTAACTATCCTCGACTGGATAATGCAGAAAATAACAGTGAGGAGCGAGAAGAGAGCAGCACGCTTAACCGGAAAAAAGAACCTCAAAGATTTGGATTTCGCCGATGACTTGTGTCTAATGTCACACAAACTTGAAGATCTGCAGGCGAAAACTAACAAGTTGACAGAACAGACAAGGCAGCGAAGCTGGGATTTCAAGTGAATATACAGAAGACAGAGGTGATGAAGATACCCAACCAACAACAGCATGAACAACATGTAGCAGTCACCATCAACGGAAGAAATGTAAAGGGAGTTGCCTATTTCACCTACCTAGGTAAGGTAGCGTTGTCGCAACTACAGGCACGACAGGCGCAGATGAGGATGTCAAAGCTACGATCGGAAAGACAGCAAGACAGACTTTCATTAGCCTGAAACCAGTGTGGAGATCCACTCCACTGCACTCAGCACAAAGAACAAGATCCGGATTTTCAACACCAATGCCAGTCAAGTCAGTGCTTCTATGTGGTGGTTGAGAGACGTGACGCGTTACGGAAGGGATTTCCAACAAACTACAGACATTGATCAACAACTGCCGCCTACGCTGGCTCGTTACTGATGCTCAGATGGCCAGAATAATAAGAATAAGCAACAAGGAACTCTGGCTGTGCAGCGAACCAACAAAGAACCTATCGCTCAACCAATATTGAGAAGGAAGTGGAGATTGATTGGGCATACACTACTGAGAAGACCGACTGTGGACATCACGCATCAGGCCAGGCACTTGAGTGTAATCCCGATGGGAGGCGATGAATTGGGCGTGCCAGCTGCTGAGGGTGACATGGAGGAGATGGTGCTAGGGGGGAATGAGAGCCTGTGGGCTATTGTGGAGGCAGGTTCAAAAGATTTCAGAGAACAGAGCTCATTGGAGACGTGCTAATGAAGCCCTAAGTTCCATTAGGAACCCAAGGGACAAATAATATTATAATAATAATCAATAACACTAGTCTGCCATACTAAAACTGTGCCATATATTCAAACTCATCATCTTATTTTATTTTTTGAAACTGGTATCGATATGAATTCATATCTCAGTGACTGACTGATCAGGATTATACTCGATCAGTCGTATGGAAGTTTCCAGAGACATCCGTTTAACTTAGTCTGTTAAACAATTGTATCATAGTTTCTACAGATTAGTTACTAACGTAAATAAGGACCTCAATTTTGTGTCGAAAGATGTTGATTCTTTGTGTGCATGACTAGGTCTGTAGAAAAAGTCACAGGTTCCCAGATAATTGTCACTTCACACCTTGTACAATGAGTTCTTAAATTATACTGAAACACAGGTGGTGAGATCGGATTCATCTTCCTCGTACCTAATTACCGAACCGATACAGTTTTTTCATTTCTGTACACACAAAATAAAGTGTTTTTACTTCCTTTGAATTTAATACAATTCTTCTTTGCGTTGCAGCACACATACGAGAAACATTGCCTTTTGGAACTGCTGATTTGGAAAAATGTAAGCCTTATGATTCAAAATAAACTATCATGTATTTAGTTATAGATTGTCATTTTCAACTCCATATTTCAAATGTGATGCCAGAAATCTGTCAAGGTTAGTAGATATTTTTTTCAAAAGAGTATCTCTTCAAAATTTTCTAGTTGCATAACCTTTATAAATGGCTGTTTACAGTATCTGTCGAAGTGATCTGAAAGTGGTTACCTGTCTGTGACAACATTTTTCAGTTCAGTTTATTCAAGCATGCGAAATCCCTTTCACAAACACTGAAAATAAACGTGATAGATATAATACATCAGAATGGATCATTTATAAAACTGAAATGCTTGTCATAATTGCTAGCTTGGCAGTTTGCTAATAAAATTGTACATAAGTTACTCTAAAGCAACTCATCTTTGCACAGTGATACACTTATGTTTCCATTTCAAAGGAGCGGATGTCAGTCCATGATGAAGAATTCGTTGAAATCAGTCAACCGGTCAATTCCCATAAACTTCCAAACTAAATACCTATCTGTCTACTGTCCATTATTAGCATGCATCCAGATGGAATTTATCGAAAGTCCTATTAAGCCTAAATTCTGTGTTAGGTCAAATACAAATCAATGGTATTACATGATGGTGGCCCAGTACCATATCTCGAATTGGGAAGCGACTCAGTGGGTGAAGGATGACACGTTCGCCGTAAAACTTAATTGTTCTGATTTCCACTCAAGATGGAGTTGTGTGAAATTATTTCAAAAAAGTTTTAGATTAGGTTGAAGGGGCTGCCAGTTGCTTCCAGTCTTTATGCTCTCTTTGTATCCTGTCAGTAAGTTATGGATATTACTTGAAAGCAGTCAGTCAGTCGCCACAAATCTTGGAACTCTATTAAATAAATATAGTTTTCACCTTAGTAACTCATGAAATATTTTTCTACTTGATAAAATAATTACAGATATTGAAAAGGGAACAGAAAATTTGAAAGAATTTTACGGTAAGCACTGAGGTATCTGAGTCAAGTTCCCCCTTTTATCATAAGAGCCAATCAGTTTTCCGCTTCTACTCATGTTTATTTGCTTCTTCTATTGTAAGCATTTCCATGAGAGGCCAAAAATATTCCTCGACTTGTTTGTTTCAGTTGTGAAATCGTATCTTCAAAGTCAGTTACATATTTGATTTTTATCTACTTTAGGAGACTTTTATAAAGGATTTGAAAAGGAAATTTCCCACTATCGTAAAGAATATCTGAAATATATGGGTAAATGCTGTAAAATTAAGTTTCAGCTTAATATGCTGACTTGAATTTCTTCATAAGCCTTAATATGCAGTTGATAAGTTGTCGTGGAGAAGGATAGATTACTGAATGTTAAATGCATTTCATAATTGATAATAGAATCCTAAATACATAAATCCTATTCATGTCAATTTTTAAGAAGTATGTTCATATTGCGATATGAATGTAATGACAATCATCTCCCTCTTTCAATTGAACAGAAGAATTACACCGAATAAATAGAGAAAAACAGTGTCATTTAAATCTACCTTCAAAATACACCCAAGGTAAATCGACTCAGCACACATATTCTGTTGTCTTCTTTCGAACACTTTACTTTGATAATGGTTATCAATTTTAGCCTTACAGTGATCAAATCTCTAATATTTGTTTGTTTACAGTTTGTGTATTCCTTTAAATCAGGAATCTTTTTCCCTCTTCAACTTACATCATTAACTGATCAAAATTTTTCCAGTCAGTTAATGTATTACAAACAGTAAAATAGTAGTTTAAATAACAAATGAATAAATCTCAGGGACCGGAAGATGAGTAGCACATCACTTACTTCATCATCATAAACGTGTTAAGGATACAGCAATCCTGTTGAACATTTAACGAACAATTTTTTCACAGCTTGATGACTTCGTTCGTCATTAGCATTGTTGCCTATGAACTTTTTCATTTGACTGTTTAGCTTTATAGATTGAGCAAAAATTATGGAACATGATTGCAATAAATAATTTTTGCCATTTCGCTATGACACAATTCAACTTGTTTTTTACTACAGGCCTTCAAAATCTCCCCAACCATATGTATGTCTTAACTAAGGCAATAAAGAATCTTAAAGTCAATTCGCGTAAGTACAATAAAATAGGTAAACTGGATAACTTTTCTAGAATGTATTACTGGAGGAGAAAAAATCAATCTCTTTAAACAATAAGCATTTTCTCAAATATCATCACCGTTTTTTTTTAGCAGCTATATACAACTGTAGCGTCATACACTTCCCCAAAATCAATAGCCTAGGGTTTGACGACTTCGACATTGATGCTGACCTTGATAGTTTAACTGGACTCGCTAAGCTGAAGGCATCCGGTCAAGCATCCTCGCCATTTGGCACGCTGTCGTGTTACGTTGCATTGCTCGTATTCGACTCTCTAGCCAGTTAGTTGGAACGCATCGGTATTTTGGCATAACCATCCAAATATACTATTCCATCCGACTACGCTATCGTGTTCTTCCTTGGTCTCGTATTCGTGGGTATATAACAAGTTCGAATAATTAGTGATTGGTCTTTGCGTCTGTCAAGTTCGCACCAGGACAAATCCTAAATTGGTGAGCCCGACGTGATCAAATATCCGACGTGATCACATATCCCGAACAATAGCAAGTATTGAATTGGTGAGCCTGTTCCATTTTATATTTGTTTATTGTTTTCATTTCGATAACATTTATATATCCATTTACTACACTTTCTCATGTCCGACCACACTCCCAAGCTTATTCGTATTAAGCCGACCTCGAACACGATCCAACTCGTGCCATATTGGCCAGACAATGCAGAAACATGGTTTCTGTATGCCGAGGCCGATTTTCGAGAACAGGGTGTCTCAGATCCTCATCTCGATTTCTCGCTGTCATACGTTCACTACCGCGAGAATTAAACAGGTTTGTTACAGCAAACATGTTTAATCCTGAAGTAAGTGACCCTTATGCACTTCTAAAGGCTGCACTCTTGAAGAAAGGCGATCTCACAGATCGCCAACGTCTAGACGAATTGCTTCGTAACATCGAGCTAGGCAGCCACTCAGCTACTGAAGTCCTCGCACGCATGCGAGAAGTAATCGGTGCACGAACATTTGACGATGGTTTCTTCCGAGAACTATTTCTCTCGAAACTACCACAACCGGTGCAAACCGTGTTGGTGACACTCCAGTCAGTCCCACTCGACGACCTGGCAGCTTCAGCAGATAAAATACTGGAGATATCCAGCAGACCCGTCTCCAACGTATATTCTATCTGTGACAAAACAGAGCGCCAGGATTCGGAGGTGACCAAGTTGTGCAACTCTGTGAAACGGTTGCTACGATCTCGAAGTCCTAGATCACGTAGCACTTCACAGAAACGCACCTTGGCGCATCGCAGCAAGTCGCGTGGTAGCCCTAAAACGAAACCCAACAGGGTGGAAAACCCTGAATGGTGCTGGTTTCATAACACTTACGGGGATGAAGCCAGAAAATGTCGTAAACCATGCCGTTTTAAGAAGGACACGAACTCGGGAAACGGTCACGCCGGCACGTGCTCACGGCAACCGTAGCCGGCGGAAAAAGCCGTTTGCTCTACGTCACCGACATTAAAACGAAAGTCCGCTACCTCGTCGACACCGGCGCAGAAGTTAGCGTTCTTCCAGCAACGACAAAGGAGCGTCATCTCGACCCATCCTTCAATCTTCAAGCAGCCAACGGCAAGGCAATCGCGACATTCGGGAGACGGTATGCCTACCTCAACTTAGGTTTACGCAAACCTATTCACTGGATTTTCCTCCTGGCAGACGTCTCTATGCCTATCATTGGCATAGATTTGCTGAACCATTACGATCTACTCGTAGATGCTCGCCGTCGACGACTGATAGATAACAACACAAAGTTATCTATTGGCGGCACCACCTATGTAGGTCCGAGTTTAGCCATCGTTAGGACTAAACAATCAGACGACGCGTCCTACCAGGCAGTTCTGGAGAAATATCCAGAGTTACAACAACCGAAACACACTCTTCCGTGCATAACCAGCAATGTTATGCATCACGTCACAACCACAGGTCCACCTGTGGCATCCAAAGCTCGCCGTTTAGCCCCCGATAAGCTGCAAACGGCGAAAAATGAATTCGACCATATGCTGGAACTGGGCATTATCAGACCGTCAAACAGTCCTTGGGCATCGCCATTGCACATGGTGCCCAAAAAGGATAGCAACGACTGGCGTCCGACCGGTGATTACCGAAGGCTTAACGCCAAAACAACTCCGGACTGCTACCCTATACCCCACGTTTACGACTTGACCGCAACCTTATGCGGCATGAACATTTTCTCGAAAATCGACTTAGTCAAAGCGTACAACCAGATACCTATGGCAGCAGAAGATATCGCGAAAACAGCCATTATTACTCCTTTTGGCCTGTTTGAATTCCTGCGCATGCCTTTTGGTCTTCGGAATGCAGCACAAACATTCCAACGCTTTATGGACGACGTCTTCCGTGGTCTGAATTTTGTTCATGTCTACATAGATGACTGTCTAATTGCGAGTCCAGATAAGGAAACACACCTTAAACATTTGGACCTCGCATTCGAAAGACTCAAAAAACATGGCATCACAGTTAACTTACAGAAGTGTGAAATAGGAGTTGAATCACTCAGCTTCCTTGGGCATACCATTGACAACAAAGGTATACGCCCATTGAGAGATAAAGTGGCGGCTATCACAAACTATCCAGAGCCGACCACTGTGAAACATCTCCGCACTTTCAATGGCCTGGTAAGTTATTACCGAAGGTTTATCCCTAACTGTGCCTCTGTCATGAGACCACTCACAGATCTACTTCGAGGAACTGCGAAGTTCGTGTCTCTGGACAACGCGGCTAGACTTGCTTTCTCCAAAGTCAAGGAAGCCATTTCGAACGCAACCATGCTTATGCATCATGACCCCAATGCTCCTCTGAGTATTGCTGTTGATGCATCTGATTCAGCAATTGGAGCAGTTTTGCAACAGTTGACTGACAACCAGTGGCAACCGTTAGCCTTTTTCTCGAGGCGGCTGCAAGACGCGGAAACAAGATACAGTACATTTGGTAGGGAACTCCTAGCCATGTACTGTTCTGTACGCCATTTTCGACATTCTGTGGAAGGTCGTGATTTCATTATTTTCACAGACCACAAACCGTTAACGTTTTCCCTCAGCTCGGCGTCTGACAAATACTCCCCTCGTGAGTCGCGACAGCTGGATTACATTTCCCAGTTCACGTCAGACATCCGCCACATTTCTGGAGCAAACAACTCCGCAGCCGACGCACTATCTCGAATAGCTTCGATAAACTATATCGAGGGTATTGATCTCGTTGAACTAGCTCGGCGTCAAAAGGAAGACCTTGAGCTGCATCATGAGTTGTCGTCCACAACTCTCAAACTGCGACTTTGTCCTGTTGGATCAGACAAGGATGCAATTTTGTGCGATGTCTCTGCTAGTCAACCACGCCCAATAGTTCCGAAGAGTTGTCGACGCAACGTCTTCAATACGTTGCACAAACTCTCTCATCCAGGTGTACGAGCCACCATTAGGCTTATCGCACAACGTTTCTGCTGGCCTGGGATGAACAAAGACGTTAAGGAGTGGGCCCAGTCGTGCTTAGCTTGTCAAAAGTGTAAAGTCACGCGACACACGAAAAGCCCTTTAGGCTCATTTCTAGCCCCAGACATGCGTTTCGACCACGTCCATATAGATATTGTAGGACCCCTACTAGAATCTAATGGATGTACCTACCTTTTCACCTGTGTTGATCGTTTCACACGATGGCCGGAAGCAGTACCCATTAAAGATATTACTGCCGAAACAGTTGCTCGTGTTTTCGTCGAAAGATGGATCGCGAACTTCGGATGTCCATCCTACGTCACAACCGACCGTGGGCGCCAATTTGAGTGCGGACTATTTCACGCTCTAACGGCACTTTT